GATCTTTAGGTTTCAATGAATCAGTCGTATTTCCAAAATTTTCAAGGCACTCCCTCTGCCAGCAATTACACTGATGTATCCAATTCTCAACCAGAAAGTGGTGGCATGTACTCCCCCAATTTCTCAAGTAATGCGGCTATGACCCCGATTCAGCAACCAACTTATATGCGCCATAATGTTTTGGTTTCACTGACACCTAATGCTTCTTCCTCTAATTCAACATATCCTGGGCTACCTCGAGTCATCAAGAATGATTCATCACGTTCGAATTTGGAATACATTGGAGCCACTACTTTGAATCAAAATCAACAACTTCACGGTACATCCGAAAGTTCTCGATCAGCAGCCTCTAGTACGACCGCCTCTGTCGAACATGGATCACATCGTCATCATTCTAACTATCCTTACCCAAGATCAATAACCAACGCTAATGCAACTATGCAGGCTGCTGATAGCAGCCCAACTACCAGCTCTATAAGGTCCACTTACACACCATGTCAAGTTTGCGGTGACAAAGCCAGCGGGTATCATTATGGTGTTATTTCATGCGAAGGATGCAAGGTTTGTCGTTGTTCCCATCACATTATTAAATATAATTTGTAAAACCTCTATTAATAACCGTTGGTTCCGATGCCCGTATACGTTTTTGCTTACATTGGGAAAGGACACGGTTACTTACCATTTTAGAGGCTGAAAAAAGGTGCCTCTTGTTATGGCTTCAAGCAAAGTATGCTTTGCTCGGGATGAAAGCTTACATTTCTACAACTTGTGGATAATCTTTCGAAACCTGTAAAATTGGTGTGGACTACTAAATGTGTGTGTGAAGTTGTGTCCCAAAAGTTGGAGATAAAATCCACGCGGTTACTTCATTTCATTCATACTCGGTGTCTGGATAGGAGACTGATTTTTGTGCATGAATGAAGGCACCCACTCTTTTTACCCACGGTCCCGTTGAATGCATTCTATTACTAATGCATGTTGAGTGGACTTCCCTATTCTTTGAATTTTTATGTCATAGATATTATCGAATCCGCGAAACAGCATATTTTGTAAGGTTGTGGCCTTCCTTTCAGGGAACAGAAGTAACGTTTGATGATTTTTTGATTTGCAAAAGTGCAGTAATGATTCGTGTAGATGTGAATTTTTCTGTTATTTTATATAAATATACCGTGTAGACCAAATTCGCATTATAGTTGTTCTTAGAAGTTTCTCCATCCCCTGACATTCCCGCAAGTTGTTGTTCCTTAGGAGTCCATTGCAATGCTTTCTGGCAATATATGTTTCATTCCCGAGTCCATAAGAACCTTAAGTAAGTGCCAAGATTATAAGATGTTCTTTTCGTACGGATTTTTTAGCAAAGCGGGCCGCATTCTTGACACGTCTAGCGTACTTGAGAGACGCCCTTCCACACTGGCTGTCACTTCGCTTTGGCGGTACATCAATACACTCAATATCGATCATTTCATGTCAGCGATTGTTGAATGCACTCTAAACTGCTGAATCGGCGGCTTGTTGCGGTTGGAGCTATCGTTAAATCGCATCATACTACTTGTCTTCTGCGTCATTTACGAGGACTCGAGCCGGCAAAACGTCATGCGGGATTTCGACTTGCAAATGAAAACTCAAACACAACATAACCACTTTGATTAAGAGTCCATGCGGTTGACGGCTTGATTTAGCTTCAACTCTTATGAAGTTGCTATCATCTGCCGCTTAGCTCGCTACTTAAAAAATAGTGCAATTTTAGTCTTAATGCGTTTACATTTGACTTTGTATTTGTCCCTTTAAGCCGTATTGCCTACTATAGACTGCAATGGGTGCCACATTATTGGCGTTATTTGTAAAGCTTTCTCCCCATCGCTACCTACCCTTTTAGCATTTTGTAACTCTGGCTTCAGGTTGGAATGATTCGCTAGTTTACGCATCACTCGGGTATTGATCTACTTCATTGACATCAATCAAATCCATCCGTCATGCGCAGCCGTGACAGCTAGTTAATACCAATTAGTCCATTGTAGCGGTCTTGGTCCACTGGTTGTGCAACTTTGGTTTTAGATCATCGTCGTCAAGGCAAACCTCGGAGATGAGAATGAAGTAAAATGTAATCTGAGAAATCGTTGTGCTAGCTGCTATCACTTAAACAGACCAATTTTTCTGTGATTACTGAACTCAGCAATTCTGCAATGTCAAGTGGATTCACTAAGTTTTTCTTGCGCTAACCTTTTGAATAATGGCTGTGGCTTCTACTTCACCTACTTTTGCTCCTCTGTTGACAAGCTTCTCAAGAGTCTGTCGCCTTCAAGCTGCCTTGTTTGACATATCGGTAAAGTAAACGAAATTCAGTACAAGGGAGCGAGGGGAGATGCTCCGTTTTAATCAAGACCCGGGAAGGGGTTTTCTTTCTCTGTTAGAAGCATGTTTGACCCAACTCTCCCCCCTCAACCTGAAGGTACATTTGGACACGTAATTTACTGCAACAGCAACCATATTGTTCATTTTCTCTGCATCATTTGTTCTGGGTTCTGGCAAATCTAGAAATACCTACTTCTCCTGCTCCGGTTGCTTGCAATGTCGTTGTAGAAGAACCTTTCAAATTTCGGTCCATTCTTGCTAGAAACTCTAAACCCAAATTATTTTGCATTATTTGTCATCTACGCCATGTAACAAAGCACAAAGTGATTATTTTTTTATGCATTCCACCTTGGCAATCGCTAAAATACATTTTCTTCACTCTATAGTTAGGCGTTAACTGGTTCTTTTTTGTAGGGCTTTTTCCGTCGAAGCATTCAAAAGCAAATTGAATACAAATGCCTTCGAGAAGGGAAATGTACGGTTGTCCGTTTGAATCGCAATCGTTGTCAGTATTGCCGCTTCCGCAAGTGCATAGCTGCGGGAATGTCGAAAGACAGCGTTCGTTACGGCCGCATGCCACGACGCTCCAGTAGCCCTGACTCAGGCTCCATTAAGACGCCATCCGTAAGCAGTCCATCACAAATGCAACAAAAAACGCCCACACGCCCCTCTCCATCCTCCTCTGCTTGCGCTGCCACCGCCCCCACCGTTGTAGTCCCTCCTGCAGCCACTGGTGTCTCAGACACACCCGTCTACCGGCAGCCGAAAGAGGGCAAAGATGTTGCACTCTACAACATCGTCGTTGCCGTCGGGAAAGCGCACTTCAGTCATTGCCCGTACGTTGAGCAGCGCGTTAAGGCACTCAACACGATGAAAGTTACACTTGTAAGTCGTGTTTGAACATGGGTCGGGCGCGTACTGTAGTGTTTCCAAGTAATCGCGATGGCAAGGCATTTTTCATGTCTGTGGTATCTTTCATTTTATTGCCTATTTCTTTGTCACATTGTTGCTCTTCAAGTACCTTAACGTAGCAGTAGTTTCGTAATAACCGCTAAAATAAGGCGCAAAACAATCATTTAATGTGTTTGTCTATTGATTTATATACAATGGTTAATTGTATTGAATTGGTACGATTGCATACAATTGTTGATTGTGATTAAATCGCAAGTTAGAGTGGTGTGAAGAGAGTTATCTAACACTAGTTAAGGTATGCTGCATTATTGTGGGATTGGTGTGTTTATTTGTTTACTTAGGAGCGATTTGCTCACCCGAACGCATGTTGTAAACATTCACCAGCTCCTGCTCGCATGGTTCGTATGGTTACATCATCTGTCGGATCGCGCTAGTTTGCGTTTTAAATGGAAGCCAGATTAATTGGTCACCCCTTTTTATCTCAACTATTTGATCAAACTTGCCCTTCCTCAAGTTCGGCAATTAAGTGTTCCATTTAGCAGTGTTATGACCCATTAACGAGTCTTTAATGTTCACCCAGTCGTACTTTTTGAATATTTTCCAACATATTTCGCCCGCATATCTTTAACAAAGACTTCCTGATATATGTTCACAAATGGGTATGATTAATGGTGGGAGCTTCCTAAAACCTTGCACACGAAGGTCAACCATTCATGCTTCTCTCAATTGTACGCATTGTGCCTACTACGATGCTGGTTATGAACCAATAGAACAGGTGCTTATCTGATCGAGGGCCCCACCACCACCTCTACCTCCCTTTTATTAGTCCTAGTGTTTACTATCTAGCTGAAGATTACTATCTTCCTACGAAAAACTCTGTGTTCGACCGTCATATCTTGGTGACAAACACTTTCAATCGGACTCATGTAGTCTGAAAATTGGAATGAGCCCTTCAAGAAATGTTGTGTGATTGACCCGGTGATGTGGTTATAGCGCTTAACTCTACTGCCACGCATCACAAATATTATTCAAATCTTAATTCTCTCTGAGTCTGCATAACAGTCTCACCTTTTTCAATTGGCTAAAATAAGTTTCCATCATCATTTTCATTCATACAATGAGGACCATTATTAAATGTGATGTTCTAGAGAGCACATAAGAAACGGCTACTGTCTCAGCGATAAAAACGCGGATGCATTTAGCCAGTCTGCAATTTATGGCTGTATTACTTCCCCCTTCTCCTTCTCTGCTTCCACTCAGCGAATTGAGACCCTCCCCCTATTCGAGAGCCAACTGGAACTCACACGCGTAGTCGTAGAAGAGTGTTCGTTTACTATCGATTTGATCTTAAGTGAAACCATCCATTCTGTATCTTCTTCCTACAGGCAAAGTGCATACTATCTTGTTTGTTGGTTTCGTTGATAATCTTTCGTAGCACATCATTATGCATTGTGCTCGGAATGGTAATGCACTGTCGAATTGTTGATAAAGTATTTTATAGCGAACTACTTGCTTCAAAATAGGTTTAACGACTAACTTGGTGGCTTTAAGCGATTCATTTTATGCCGATAATTTCAGTGGAGAAGGATCGATGTATTCCTTGTATTTTTACCCACAATGTGAGCACACCAGCAATCATGCGCATCCAAATAGGCTATTTGTAGAATTTTATCGGTGCAGATCCTATGTGGGCAAGCGCGCTTGCATATGCATGCAGCTAAGGTCATCGACTTGTGGACGAACATTTCAGCCGCTGAGACGCGCCTATGTACGCACGCTGCGCGCTCTCCCAAAATAGCGTTGGTGGAGCGGTGCGACGAGGTGCGCACGTGCATCCTTAAGGTCATCTGTGCCCTCGCTGTGGCTATCTCTCTCTTTCGTGCATGTACGCGTCTTCTCTCTCATCTGCCTGTGTGCGGACGAGCGAGGGCGCGTCTGCGTGCCTGATAGTGGGTGTGGGGCTGCGGTTCGTGCTTTGGTCTATTACTGCAAAAATCGATGACGTAATGGACACATCCTTGTATCCAGCTTCTGCCATCACCTCAACTGTCGCCATACTCGTTCCAAAATTACATAATAAAATTAACTTCAAGTTCGCTCTTTACTCTCATCTCACATCAACTTCTAGGTTTTTATCTGATCCGTCCTCTACCCAACTACTCCTTTTATGCTCAGTTACAACAGACTTATCATCGTTATTAAAATGCGGTTAAACCTTTATTAGTCTATCAGGCACATTTGTTACGGTAGTGATGAGTCTGGATTTTACGTAATATTCTCATCCAAGAACATACCAATGTGTGTGGGGTGAACAGACTAGCTGTGCTATAGTAAAGTCTCTTCGGTTCCTTTTATAGCTGACCAATAGATTATTTGTTGTGTTGTACTAGTTGCAAAGGTTGGCGTTCTTCGTCTGTTTTGCGGTCATGTATTTTTTAATCCGCTAAAGTTAACGCCAGATGCGACCGACCCGAAGTCTGTGTGCATGCGTCAAAATACTAATAATCCGTGTTGTGATGGCCAACGTGTCACTGTCCTGTCCTGTACAAACAAAATTCGTTTGGCGACTAAGGGAACATGGATCTCCGAATCTTAAATTAGGGTAAGCCTAGCACATACAAATAAGTAGCTTCGCATGGCAGCCGAATTTTTGGAATTCAGCGATTTTTTGTTTATTCTTGATGGTAGCAATAATGGGATCAGTGAAATCTGACGGCCATTACCACCACTTCCATTTGGCTTTGATGTGTGACCCCAATGCTTCAGTAGAGGACATTTGCCCTGTTCAACAGGTGATTATTAATTGTGCTATTATTAGTTTTGTGTTTTGTTGATATTGAACACAGTGTAGTCCCTCAGTAAGTGTTAAAAGTCTGATGGAGTTTGGTGGCGTACTAATTCAAATTAATCCAACACTTTCCATACCTGCCTCTCTTGATCGAACTTCAGATTTAATTTGCGCTTTTTTGGCTAAATATTCGGTTTACTGGAAGTATCTGCGCGGTCGCATCATCACTTATATGTTCACTCGCCAGTTCTGACAACAGAC